GCTATCCACTAGCTCTAAAAGAGCCTCTTCCACGGTGATTTTGACGTCTAACAAGGCAGCGATGGTGTCTGCGCTGTGCACAGTCACGACAAGTGCCATCTGCCCTTCAATGACTTTTCGAAGAAACGTAGTCTCCGTGTACCGCTCTTCCACAGGGATAGTGTCATTCGCAGCGAACGATGAGACTGCCTTGAGAAGCTTCCGTCGCAGCTCGCCAGCAGCTCCCGAGATGGATGAGATTCCATCAGCTCCGCCCTTTGCGGAGAGATCGAGAGTGTAGTGCACAGCAGCATCGCGAGCAAATACGGCACCATGGTCGAGGGTAGTCCCAGCCCCGGTGAGAAATCCAGTACTTGTGCCGTGATGCGTGCCGAGAGCTGTGAATTTGGGGGCTGAGATGGCTCGGGTCACACCATAGCGATGGGCAACTTGCAATTTATCTGTATCAAGGGCGAGCCCGTCGACACCGCGGCTGAATCTTCCCCCGTCCGCACCGTTGTCGGTGTTTCGCTCCGAATCGATCGCGTTTAGACCGATAGTTGAGCCGAAGGCGGTGAAAGATGGAGTAAGATAACCATTTTTGAGGTGAATCAGAGTACCTCCCTGTCTAGACACCGCTTTGAGCTCGGCTTCGCAGCCTCCAACGCAAGTAATCTTGCCGTCAGAGATGGCTACGTTGTATGTTTTCCCATCGACTGCGAAGCCTTTCACCGTCATGGAGTGTAGAATTTTTGAGATTCCTGTAAAGACAACATCGCCCCGCATGAAGTGAGGCTTCTCAATGACCTCACCGAGATGCTCATCGGGGACTATGGTACCCTCGTAGGTCTTGTTAAGCCTGACTGGTTCGTCATACTGAGCAGTACCGTCAATCCAGACCTGGATTGGCGTAGCCCCAACGCTCAATGGGTCACTGTCCCAGACGACGACATCGGCATCGAAACCAGGCTTGATTTTACCGAGGCGATGCCCCATCCCTAGTCTCTCAGCCGGGGCAGTAGTGACGGATGCTAGTGCAACGTGATAAGGTAGACCATACTTGTACGCTTTCGCAGCTTCAAACACGACGTGCTGTGCATTGAGCACTGGGTTATCGCTGACATAGATGGGCGTCAGTCCAGCGTCATAGAGATGTTTCCCTGCGTATTCTGAGCCCATAGCAGCTTCGGCTTTGTACCACATGTTGTCAGCGAAGAGGGCGGACGCTGGTGGATTGTTTCCCCATGCCCGTTTGAGAATCTTGGGAATTACTAGTGAGTAAAAGGTGAGGGAATGGGAGATACCATCAAGGGCTTTGCGATATGCTTACCTCGGGCACGAGATACGTCTGGTGGGCATGATGAAATGCGCGAATGGGGAATTTGAACTCATTCGTGTGGTCCACGAAAGCCTCAAGGTCATTGATGGTGTAGCAATGAGCATGAACATGGACTTGGCCCCTGAGCACAGCAATCAGTGCCTCCCACTCCAGATCGTTCTTAAGATAGGTCTTGACGTGGTCGAGGCCTTGAACAGCAGCACTGCACCAGTCATCTTGCTCGCGGATCAACTTGGTAGCGTGCTCGAAAGCCTGACGGAATTCCCAGCTTTCACCAAGGCGGCTGTAAGGGCCACGTTCGCCTGCCTTCCCATGGACCTGCTTCGAATTCTCACCACAAGCCATCTTCATATGCCGCCAGGTGCGATCCGGGTCAGCTAGCATATCAAGTACGCTTGTTTCGTTGCGTCCGTCACCAGTTCCGACGGCGTGCTTGATCACAAAGGCTTCGCCGCCAATATTGTTGCTGGATCCAGGAAGAATCAACGACGTGGTGACGCCGCCAGACTTGATTACCTGGAGTTGATGATCCGTGGGTTGGATGCCGTCGATGGATCGGACATAGGGAGTGATATCTTTTGACAGCTCGCTGACGTCTTCATTGCCGTGTAATGTTGGCAGTGAATGTACTGCAGCATGGCTGTGCATGTCGATGATGCCGCTGGTGAGCGGCCGCCCACCGGCATCGTAGACGAGAACATCTCCGGGCAGGGAGGCTATCGATATGCCCTTAGCTACCTGTTTGATCAGGCCGTGCTCAATGAACACGTCGGCTGAAATCCATGAATAGTCGGCAGACCTTTCAGCCGGCTCCCCGATCCAAATCGTTGCGTTCCTGATGACTGTGGGTTTCTTGCCGTCCACGTAGCGGGCGTTCCGTGTCCTCCCGTACCCAGGCGGATCAATTGGTCGACTGTGCAAGTTCCCGCAAGTCGCCAGATCCTCTCGCAGCTGACGAGTTGAGAGCCCATGAATCGTAAGTTCCGGCCCGGAGACGCTGCCCACGGGGTAAATCTGCCTCCATTGCGCGTAGACGATGAACGCGAGGCATGCTAAACCAAGAACGCGCAATGTTCGCGACCTGCGGGGTAAAAGTTGGAGAGCCGGATGATGCCGTCGCCGCACTGATGAAGAAGGGACACGGCGACTTTCAGCCGCTGGCGGGCTGTAGGGCGGCAGCTCATCTATTTTCTCCGCGCCCGTGAGCGATGTCATTGTTTGAGTCGTCGATATCGGTGGCTGAGGAGGACGACAGGGCCACGTGGTGGGTTTGAAGTTTGACAACAGGACATTTACTGGCAACAAGGGACAACAATAACGGCTCCAGTTGTGTTTGGGTGAGGACGCCCTTGTCCCCAGCTTCCAAGGGGGCTTTGATGATCGCAACAAGGATTCAGGACAGGGCTTAACTCGCCTAAATTAGTTTCGGGCAGCCCAAACCAAAACTAAACTCCTGCCAAAGCTTTGTTTCCTCGGCTGATTATGTGGTGGTGCTTATGGGTCTATCGGAACATGGAGCGTACATGTAATTAGCCGTAGAGGTAGATCTGTATGAAGATGGCATGAACTTTCACATTATTGGATACTCAGTGCCTAGCCCGTTTTCGTCTGTCATAAGTTGCTCGTCCGGCGGGATGCCTCGATTGACTCTGGCCACTGACGCCATCTAGATTTAGACCCCGCTCCGATCACCGTGCCCCTAGATGGTACGCCAGAGGAAAAAGAAATACCGCATGATGAATACGAGAGTGTTTGCCAGACTAACTCGGAAAGAGATGCCGACATCTCGACCCAGGCGGCAAAGATTCAGACACGGGTTCTAGGCTGTGAGGCAGGGGCACTTTCTTGTACACAATTCTGATGAAGGATGCAATGCTGTTTTCACCACATAGACCGTTTCATTCAATTGTGAAACCCTCGAGGGGTATCTCCCACTTCGTGATATGTCAAGCTAACGTAGGTACATGTATTTGGTCTCATTATCTACACTAGTGCTGCCGCTTAATGGGCCTCAACCAAAGTTTCCTTCACAGCCGGAGCTTGCTTAAGCTCCTCAGACACTTCAGGCGCGTGCGCCTTGGCGGTCGGCTGCGCGTACGGGGTCCACTCCTCATCGGCAGTCATGCCGCCGTACAACATGGAAGGGGGAGCAAGAGCCTGGATATCGGGGGTGGCCTTGAAGAGGTAGAACTTCTCATCGTGCCACTGACCAGCAGTGACGTATCTGCCCTCGCTGTCCTTGAACATGGTGTCGTTCTCGGCGCGGAGGAAGTAAGCGATGGAGTAGCGGTGCTGCTCGGAGTTGTAAGGGACGACGCGGTGGATGCACGACATCATGGTGTGGCCACTGGCGAAGCGGAGGGAGTCGCCAACGTTGATGATGGCGCAGCCCTTCTTGGGAGCGACGAAGCCGAACTCTTTGGTGCCGGGAGGGCGGATCTGGAGACCCCACTCCTCAGCAAAGAGGAGGGTGAGGGAGCTGATGTCGGTGTGCTTCTGGTGGCCGATCTGGGTGTCCTTGATGGGGTCGGCGGGGACGTAGTGCATCATTGCCAGTGTGGAGGTAGAAGGGCGGTCGTTGCGGTGGGCGTTCTCGTAACGGGCGGCGCCGACGAGACCCATGGCGGAGGAGAGACCGGAGAGGACGGTCTTGGTAACCAGGTTAGATCCGGAGATAGCGTTCTTCAGAATTGCCTTCTCCTTATCGTTCTGGAGAATCTTGGGGAACTTGGGATCGGGTCTTTGAATCTCATCACGGGAGACCTGGAGTGGGGTAAGTTAGCTGGAGCCCATATCCAACGATCATGGGAGTCCCATGATAATATCTCACCTTAAACATCTCATAGCCGTCTCTGGTGTTGGGAAGACCACCCGTTCGGGAGCCGACGGGCTCATATCTATAATTAAGCCATGAGCATCTTCTGAATATTCCAACCTCGGCGGTGCGGCGGAGACTTACCCAAGATGTGCGGTGATAAGGCCGAGCTCGTTCTTGTCCTCGATAGGGGCTTCAAAGTAGCGGTGCATGAGCTCAAGGGTCCTTTGCTGGTCGTCGAGGAATCTGCTGCCATCGAGGCCGTTCAAGTCCAGGTAGAAGAAACCCTGTTGCTGGCAAATGCGGAGCATGTTCTCAAGCTCAGCTGGCTCTTGGGAGAGGACGCGTCCAAAGTCCACAGTCTCCATGGGGTAGACGGGGACCCTCTTCCCGGACCACTCGACGGTCTGCGGGACTTCAGTGGAGATACCCATTATGTAGCTGTGTGTAGGTATGCGGAAGCTAGGATTCTAGGTAGTGAAGACGGTCTTGGAGGATCGAGTTTACAAATCGTAGGCAGAGAGTTGGTTTCGACAGGACGAGCTGCACTCCCATACTTCAACCCCGCCGGCGAGCTCTCCTACTTATACAATTCGAGACTACCCAGGCCCAGAACCCTGAAGACCTGGATAGCTCTGCCTGAGCTACACCTGAAGCTCCGAGTCTGATCTGCGTAGGCGCACCAACAAGACTCTTTGCCCCTCATTGTCAGCAACGCGACGAGATCCACACACATCATCATTTCTTATCCTCCTTCCAGATTGCTGTGATTAACAATGTCCCATTCAATGAGACCTAAAGTTTCATGCAATGGTGCGGGGTCTCGGGCCAATCGGCACATTTACCCATATCACATGCGTCCCGCGCCAACGAGACTATCACTGACAGCTCGAGGAGCTCGATGTCTCTTTCGTATCAAAAGTGGATTTCGTGCTCTAGCGCTGCTTGATCTGGTTCGTGATGGCGGCACTCTGGTAGGACCCCGCTGTCTCACACTACTCAATCGGATACGGTCCGTCTCATGCAGGGCGTAGGAATTGCACCATTTCTTGGCCATCTTATCATTTCTGGAAGAAGAAACCATTGAGTCCAGCCGAGAAGGACAGCGCCTCTTTTCAATCTCCAAGTTTAGCCAGATGCGTTTTGTAAGTACGTGGACGAGGGCTGTTGGCCTAGGCAACACCACATAAACAACAAACACCCCGCTCTCGGTAGATTTCCTTACACGCTTGGAGGGGCATAACTTTCTTCGGAATTGCATCCTCTCGGTCTTTTACCCGACACTAAGATTGCCAAGCCCGGCAGATGGGCCATCGTGCAATGTAATTGCTTATTCATTGGGTGATGTCGGACAGAAGGGACTCACCACAGCTCACCAATGTCTCTCCGGTCACACAAAGCTGTGCTCAATTTCTGCAGCTAGGCTGACAACTTAGTCGCAGACAACGTGTCGTCCGCGTGGCAGCAACTTGGGTCTTTGTCGAGACAATGTGATTGTCTTCTTGGTAACAGTCGAAGAACCACAAGGGTTCCTCTGAGAGGCCGCCACCATCCGGGAGTATCCGCAAGAAGACCCCTGGCTAGGATCTGCCACTAGGCGACCAACCACACATCCCATTCATCTCGAAGTGGCGATGCGGGGTAATCTCAGTGCGGTATCCGCGGGAGACGCGAAACATCTGCAAGCGAGCAGCGTTGCACGCATGTAGTTGGGGCTCGGAGGAAAGCCCCCGACTACAACCCCCACGGCGATGGCTGACCGAGATGACGGAGTTAAGATGGATAAAATTTGGGATGACATTTGACGTCGCAACAAACAATTGGCGATCAGTTCGGTACGAACACGTCGGAACTTGGCATCCTGTGGTGGCCAATGAGGTATCGGGAGTCGCAACCGAGGTGGCACTTTTCTCAACGACAGTCGCATTGGCCAAGGATGCACAATTAATAAAACAGGTTGAAAGACTCTTGGCTTATATTCGGAGTTTCGTCGTTCAACTGTAAGTCCGTCTAGTTTGGCAATAGCTGTTAATGGTTGGTTTGCTTCAAGTATGCTAGTAGAAGACAAGCAACTTAACTATTGTTAGGTACTTCACGGATTTTTCATGAACATCGCGACGGGATAAAATTGTAACGTGATAATTTTTGTTTGCAAAGGACGTGCAACTCAGTGGAATTGAGGTAAGGTGATGCGCACATACGTCTATTGTTCATGTCCAAAGGACTCAGCTCTGCTCCAGATCCCAGACGGGAATCGCTGATGTGAAATACCCATCAGCAAACTTCTCTCTATCGAGCCGGGCTATCTAAAACTGAAGGATCATTCCATCCTCCCCTCCAACTCCCCTAATTGAGTCTATTTGGGGCATCCAATACCCCAGCCAGTGACAGTGTCGCAGCAGTCGGCATCCTATTGAGCAATCAGTAACAAGATCAACGACAGTGAAATTGCAGTGGCTTACGCAGGTGGCGGACACAGGAGTGTTAGTGCCCTGCTTCATGACGTTGTAGCAGAAGTTGGCCGAGTTGGACGCGCACCAAACTGAATCGCCGTTCTGGTTCATGCAAGACTTCTGGCCCTTGCCCCAGCAGCAGTCTGTCTGGGGGTAGTTGCGTCCGACTTTGCACTATCTTATTGTCAGCTGCTTTATGACTGAGAAGGATTGAAAAGATAGAAGGCTTACCTCGGCGGCAAGAACAGCAGGAACAGCAACAGCTGAGAGGATGGCGGTGATGACGACTGAGAACTGCATTTTGAATGAAGGTTGATGATCGAAATCTGATCTTGAAATGAGAGTTGATATAGTAAAGAGTGGAAGACTGGTAGTTTATTGGATGTGTGAAGGTGAGGATGATGAGAGATAGAAGACATTTATGAGGAATCGTCAACGCTTCTTATATCCTCCAAACCTCGTGGATGGTTTTCCCAATTCTCCTATTAACCCGACACGGCCATATTCTCGGTGATCCCGATTTCAGACTAGACCCACGACTACTCAACTCTGGACAGGATAATCTAAAGAAGTTTTACCAATGCAACGAGACTGGACTAAGTTCGTAGAAGGCGGTACATTCTCTGACAGTCCGGTGCGCCTACGACTGATTCGAGATAAATTCCCATCAAATTCCGGTATCCACAACACCTCGTAGGGCTGTGAACGTGCCATGCCTGACTGCGGTACCACTCAGCGGTCCAAAACTACAACCCGACGCCGCGCTATATTTACGAGTGCAGTGCATTGATAGTCTTGACTCAAGCATTTTCGGCTCAAGAGGGCGCGATACTGAGGACTTGAGTTGATTGAGATCTATCTGTACCTGACTTGCATGCACCATCACGGGCCATCTTCTGCTCCAGGCCATTGGCACGAATATGACTTACGACGCACGAAAATAAGCTTTACAGGGAACAGCAGTTTGATGTGAGACTACGAGCACAAAAGCGCGGCTGTCAGTTGATAAATGCTTCATATTGGAGAGTCTGTTTTATGGGGGTAGTGCACATAGGGACATCGATCAAATCTAAGTGAACCCCGCATACCAAGCCAGAGTTGTTAAACGGTAAAGCGCAATTGGAAAGGCAAAGGATTGCCTTCGAGAATAATTAGACTTTTTTGTACTCCTAACTCCTGCCAAGAAGCGATGGTCTGTGATGGGTCATTATGATAGACAAAGAATGAAGGAAAGATTTAGACATGGTGGAAAGAGATTGGCCAGACTCGTACGGATAATTTGATGACAACTCGAGTTCAAGTCTAATATTAGTTGTGCAAGATGCATATTTACGAGAGGATTGATTGAATCAATTTATTTGCAGTACATCTGTTTCGTACTCAGTTTCCTCTCAGAGAAATGAAAGCTTGATGATAAATGGAAGTCTGTCACTTGATCCCGCTAAGGTACTTGAAGGTGAAACTTTCATACAGCGAAGAACGTCATTCTCTTGTAATCTCCTAGATGTGCTATGACCATCTCCTTCTATCTAAATTGAATCGATCCCAATCCGCTAGACCATCTATCCTCATAGTCTATCTATTTGGGGCAGCCGGTTCCCCAGCCGTTGAGAGTGTTGCAGCAGTCAGCGTCCTGGTATTTGGTCAGTAAGAACTAGCTCATCTCGAATTAACGTTAAATCTTACGCAAGTAGTAGACACCATAACGCCCCCGGGTCCCTTGACATTGGTGCAGTAGTTGGCAGTGTCGGCCTCGCAGAAGTACTATCCTGTCCGTCAATACTATTTCCCGCCATCGACCAAAAGAGGTGTACACACCCGGTTGCTATTCTGTCGAAGGCAGGACTTATATCCATCATTGCCTCCCCAGCAGCAGTCAGTACGAACAGAGCTTCCGATCGCGCACTGCAACTTGTTAGCGAGCCTATATCATCTTATTTGGGCCTATTGCGAAGCACATACGTGAGCAGCCATGACGGTGGAGCCAGCGGTGGCAAGAGCGGCCAAGAGAATGTTGGAGAACTGCATTTTGAAAAATGGGTGAAAAAGTGAAGATGATAGAAATATTCAAGTAGTGAAAGAATGTGAATGAGATTTGTTAAGTTTGACTTGTGTTGTAATGATTGTGGGTGATGAGTTAGAAGAGCGAATGGTGAGAGGAGAGCCAAGTCGATAACTTATATACACGAGGGTATCTCTTCATCGTAAAGGATTAAGGTACGCAGTCAACAAGCTCATCTCCAATATCCGGCAACGAGACACCAATCATGGCGCTATGGCTGAGTCGGAAGATTCTCTATGGACGACCCAACCACGGTAAAGACGGTGGATGCTTAGTCTCGTTCCATCAGAAAAGCATGATAAGTTGGTACCCCAACTTCATCTGAAGATACGACCTGAAGTCAAGAGAAAATTGTCAGGGATATCTAGTCAAATTACGGTGATGGGCCGAAGCTCTGGCCAGACGGTGGGACGTTTGCGAGCCCTGCGACGACTTGTCGAGCCACCAGAAGGCCCGAGTATGAGCTATTAATGAATACGCTTGTTCATTATACCTTGATCTACAGTCTAAAGTGAAGATCCTGGGAGGTAAATTCAACTCCCATTTACATAGAATGCCGTGTCATGGTCGGTTTCGGATGCCCAAGCGGTAGTTGAGTCATGGCTCCGTGATAACTAAGCGGGGGTCCAATTGCTTGATTGACGTGTCCTAAATAGGCAATTTCAACATTTCCATCTTCTCGGCTCCATGACTAGACGAACAAAGTTTGGACTGACTTGAAGATCCAGTTCGTCTTTACTTGTGAGGATACGGCTGGGCATCCCACCTCCTGCTCGGCATCCCCGTATAGCCGCCTTGGTCTGCACTGTCAATCAACCCAAGACCGACATGATCGGCTTCCGGGTTCGTCTAATGAGACTGACTCGGCTTGATTAATTGCCTAGACGCTCACTTGTAAATGGCTTCTTGCGGATAATATCGTAACTTGTTGTCATCCGTGCAGCCTGTGGGTCGTCTTTTGCCGTTTGATACAGCTCAGCCGCCTTTTACTCGCGGCTTTCAATCTTATGGCCTACAGACTCTACTTACTCCTTTATGTTGAGTTTGTAGGCGTACTTTGAAACGCGCCGTATTGATTACATTTTGCCCCGTATTGATTATTCTGTAGAGTCTGTAGCGTTCCTGAGAGACTATCATGAAAGGCCTGTTCTCGAGTCCGAAACCGAATCACACACGTAGTCATTCGAGCCGGCGATGCCGTCTTCGAGCATCAACGTAAGCATTCCACTTTGTATAAAGCAAGACTCAAATTCCCACACAATCCAACTATTCTCATCATCACACTCATACAGTCAACTCACAGTCTCTCACTACCAACACACTCTCTCAATCATCCCACTCTCACTCACTTCGTTTTCAACTTCACAACTTTCCACCTTTTCAAATCATCCACCATGCAGTTCTCCAAGATCGCTCTCATCAGCCTTGCCTACACTTCCGGCACTCTCGCCGCCTCGGTGAGTCTCTCAATTCAGTTGCCTTGTGCCGTGTGCCTTGTTTCAGCTGCTAACGAATAAAACAGTGCCGCATCTACAGCTGGTTGAACGGCGAGGCTGTCCTCGATAACTGCTGCTGGGGCAAGGGCCAAAAGGCTTGCACCAACCAGAACAAGGGCGGCACTGCCCGTGGCACCAGTGCCGCTTACTGCGCTGAGCAGAGCGCCAGCTTCTGCGAGAACGTCATGCTTGGAGGCAACCCGATCACCAAGACTTGCGTAAGCTTTCTCCTCAAAGAATTCTGCTTCTTTTTGTACATGTACTTACACTTGATATCACAGGATGCCGACTGCTGCTCCACTACCACCGGTTGGGGTATTGGCTGCCCCAAATAAGGGCATTTGGAATGGATTCACTGGAGGATACTAGCATGCTTTCTTTGTCCGTAGATAGATCAGTGAATAAGACCAGTTGACTCTTACCAAGCCTCAAAACTATGCTTCTGATGACCTCGTGGTTCTAACTCGGCTGTTTCAAATTTCAATTTATATTCCCTGAAAGGTAGAAAACACTGGGTGCTGACTAGTAGGGGAAAGTATTTGCGCCTCGTGGCTGAACAAGGCAGCTCACAAAGGGGGCCTGGGGAACCATAAGCCACACGGAATACCCGCGAATATACACACACCACCCAGTTGCCTGGACAGGGCTATAGAACTAAAACTGTGAAAGGAGGGCATGAGCAGCCTCTGATGTGTACATGACCTAGTGGAGGAAGTATTCACGCGTAATTGGATCCTGCAAATGTTGCGAGTTTGAAATTGGTGGTCCTACATAATGCCACAGACAGCTCATTTTTTGGCTTTCGTTTTTACCTAACTGGAACATTTCATTCCCAACCTGTAATTACGAACTTCGTTGTTTAAAAGTCAAGTCCACAACTACGGAAATTCGGTTCTTGCGAATTATTGGATCTGTTATCAGATTACACTAGTCATCATTGGTTTCTCCATCAGGCATGCGCCGTGGCCTACATAGGCAAAATCTTGGTCTGCTATGCATATTTTTGTGAGATCTCACGCCTTTGAGGCATTCGTCCGATGGTTTCCCGCCTCGAACATCAGGCAAAGGGCCAATACGCCAGCTCGTACACGTATCCGGTCGCCATCTTCGCGTGCTGCAAGACGTGATCAAACGAGACATACTCCATGGTATCATTGGGACTGTGAATGTACGGGTTGTGGTTGCCGAAAGGCGTCTCGAAGATGAACGACGACGGATAGCCATTGCGGTTGGCGGACGCGTGGTCGGAGCAGGCATATCCGCAGACAGTCTCCTCGTAGGGGATATCAGTGTACTAGTAAATAAGACATATGTCAGCACTCGCGCATCTCAGACCAAAGGTTTATCACGAAAGCAGTCTAGAGATAATAGCAACTCACGGTGTCAATGACGCGCTTCATGAATGCAACCTGGTCGAGGTCGACCCAGTCCGTAACAACGCCGAACCTCTCGACGCCATCGCGACCAACGTAGCCGACCATGTCTTGCTGCAGCATTGACACGACCTGGCGGCTAGAAGCACGGTACTGGGTGAAGATGTCCTGGCTTCCGAGCAGACCGGCCTCCTCGGCGCCGTACCAGTGGAACTCTAGGGTGTTCAGGATATCACCAGACGCGATCTTTGGATCGGAGAGGAGGACGCGGAGGACCTCAAGGATCATAACGGAGCCGGAGCCGTTATCGTCTAGTACAGCAGCATCATTAGTCTCTTTCCCCACATCGATGGTACTTTAATGCAGAGCTCACCAGCACCAGGCGCACGGCCAGCGCCACGATCTCCAGAAATGACTGAATCCAGATGCCCGCCCAAGACAACGGTCCGCTGGTTACGTCCGGGAATCGTAACAATAATACTAGGCTGCGACCACGCGGTATGGCGCACATAGCGGATGTTCGCCGTGGGGTGCCCCGCAACATCCAAGACGGCACTGATCTGCCCATACAGCCACTCTGCGGACTCAACGCCCGTCTTGGAGAGGTAGTACCGGTTGTGGAAGGACGAGAAGCGCTCAAGATGCGCACGCATGTTGTCCTTGTTCAGCTTCGGAATCAGGGCGTTGACGTGGCACGTCTGATTCATTTCCGTTGGGAAGGGGAGGGCCGCGAGGAGCTTGAAGTCTGCGGAGGAGGCGACGGCGGGAACATCTGACCATTCTGTGATGTCGAAGAAGTGGACGCGTTTCTGATCATGTTAGCTACGCTCGCGGGATTGAGAAATAGAGGTCACGGACATCCATCATCTCCCATTTCTCCTCCTCTGTGACGGTGACTGTCTCGCCTGGAGCAATTTCTAGCGTGAACAATTTGTTCGGGTCACGGGGCTCGACAAACGAGCCGGCAGCCGAGCAGGCGGCAAGGGCCGCGAGGAGAGGAGTCAGGCGCATGGTGACAGCAAGGCTCCGCAGCTAATGACGATGAGCGATTGAATGAAGTCCTCCCGTAATGGGTCCTACTAGGTCGCCTGGGCCCTTATATACTCGTTCCATCTCCCGAGGCGGTGGGTCGATGCAATAAGATGCTATAGCTGATCCCCTCGCCTAGCGGCATATTACAAGGGATATCACGATTGCTGACATCCGTCCGGAGGAATACTCGAAGCTCGGCAGAGAAGTGACTCCAGTTGAGGGGTAATGGTATCTCAAGCGCAACCGGGGCAATGGTCCCAAGAGCGGCACAACTCAATCTCATGTATGCCGAGAACTATAACGGGAAGCTGGAAATTTTCAAAAGCTTAGCTCGCGCGTTGGCGGTGAGTTGGGTGCCCTAAGTGCCAAAGAGAAGCCGACATTGCGAACTTTTGAGTTGGGAGGGCGTAAAAAGTTCCTCGACCCATATGTGAAGGTAGATCTGCAGCTCTGTAGAGCCATTGACCAATTACCGGGACGATTCCTTACCAGAAACAACGTCTGTGCTGACAAGGCGAGGAGATACTCGCTTGGCTGTCACCTCGTCCGAACTTCCAGGACGGTGTCGGTTTTCCTCCATTATCTCCGCCGCTGCTTATGCAGCTCGAGACTTACTGCGTCTGATTGTTTCCTTGTCAGGCATGGTGGATGTAAAGCCGAGAGTTCCGACGGAGAGAGATGATATCTTGGAAGATATAAAAATACTGTTTGAGTGTCATCTGGAATGCGCCGAGTCGATGATGCGCCAAGAGTATCTCTATTCGGAAGGTAACCTTTAGCCAAGACGTTGCGCGGGGACTTGCGACTGAGGGGTTGGAAACAAAAGTCAGCCAGCTTGCGGCAACAAACATCCTAGCACGCCAAGTGTCGCGTAGGATGACCTTGGGAAATCAGAGCTCCGTGCGCGATCCGCGGGGATGGAGAACTTTTGGGATTTTGATGATGATTGAGGATCGTGTGGATGAGTATGTGAGGGCGGGACCTCGATGACTATGTCAACTTGTCCTTTCGAAACCCAAGACGGTTGATAATATCAGAGTACCGATTCGCTACAGGATGTTCACGAAAAACTCAACAAAGGTTGTCTCTCAAATGGCCCCCATCCCTCATCCATGCCTTCGCGCAGGGCGATCACAAGCAGGAAACCTCGCACACATCCAGCAAGACTATCATTGACCACAGTCCATCCAATCAACCGATACCACTCGACCCAAGATGGTGAGTACGGCGGGTACTTGACGCGAAAAACCCAGGATATCGCCACGAGAGTAAAGGTGATGCATTGGATAGCGAGACCAGGGAGACTGAGGGCGCCTGCGTTGCCACCTCGGGAGCGTATTTCGCGTGCTTGTGGAACTGCGGCGACGATGATGAATGCGGTGGAAAGTGGAATGAGGAGGACGTAATGGAGTAAAGCGAAGATATCCTGGGCCCATCGACGGGGTTCGGATCGGGATGATGGCAGGCTGGCGTCTATGAGGACTGGAAAGATGCTGAAGAAGAGAAAGACGACGAAAGATGTGATGGCGGCTCCTCTTTGGATTCTTTTTTCGGGGCTTTGTGACGCTTTGCGGATAGACAGAGTGAACCTGGGGGAAATGGGGTAAGCCCAAGCTCATTGACAGGTTTGCAATCGCTTTTGAATCTTCAGAATCCTCACAAGTAGAGAGAACAAAGCCAGACAATCATCAGCTGGCCGAGATTGAGCCAGTCGCCCGCTGTGGCTGGGGTATTGACAAAGGCGTCGGGTCGCAGAGATGCGCCATTGTTGACGTTGAGAAAAAGGCCGATGGTGAGTTGTTCTGTGACGCTCAAGAGGTTGAAGAGGACGTAGTACAGTGAAAGGCCGTTGCAGTGGCCTTGTTCGCGGAGTCGATGGTATTGTGGTATGTATGAAGTGAGGCTTACGAAGATCAGGGCTCTAAGTGTCTTTGGTCAGTCCATTGCAGACAAGGGGATACCCATTCCTAGTCATCTGTAGGCAGTCCCCTTTTGGTCTCCCGGTTGCTTGTCGTTGCCATCATTCGCAAGGTCTTGATCAACAAAGGTACGACTGATGGGCAGCTTAGAGGAGAGGGCAGCAGTAGCGTATGGATGAGTCTCAATGGAAGGTTACTCACACTCTGGCAAAGTTAGGCAAGATATTAGGAGCCATCGTGAACCTAGCGATAGCGGAATCGCGATGCCGAAATTTTCGCAATGACTAAGAAAAGGTCGAAAACTCAAGACAAATGGGTACCAACATTCTCTCTCCAGGAAATCTGGACGGGATGCAAAAAAAATGGAGTGAAGACCAGTCAGAAATGCGGTCAGTTGGCTGTTGTATGTTGCCTTCGAGTGATCCTGTAGGATTCAGGCATCCCATCACGTGGTTCATCGAGTCACGACGATTTGATTGAGTTAGAAAGTTCCGAAGGGTCCACAACTGCAACATCTCAGGATCGCCAGCTAGCATAAAGGAAATCTCAATGCACTTGCGGGAAGTCAATGGATTATTAGGGCTATCTCCTATCTCATCTATCGGGACTCCATGTATTATGGCATAGAGCCGCATTTCCTGATTCATTAATCCATTTGATCATCTTATGCAGATCCTAGGCCAATAGTATGGCCAACCATGAGCAAACAGAGCCAGTCCAATCCTCGACCGTACGCAATTCTCATTCATTACCGTCGACCTACAGCTTTCAAAAGATGTAGAATTTTATGGCATACTTCTCACCAAACTGCCAAGAGAAGTCGCAGTGCTCTCCGCCCCAGAGACGCATCCGGGTCTGACTGGGGTCGTACAGCTTGAAGGCCTTGGTGAGGAGGATGTCGAGGTCCATGTTGCCGACGGTAGTATCCTGGCCCCAAGGCAACCAAGCGATACGACAGGAGCCGACCTGGGCAAGGAGGGTGGCGTGGGTGCTTCTGAACTCGTCTCTACTGAACTGGAAGCGGAAGCGGCGGATAGACATGAAGTTGCGGAGCTTCACACAGTCGGCGATGAGGGGCGAGTCGGGCTTGGCGCCGCCCCAGAACGTGATCCGGCCGGTGCATCGCTTGGAAGGGCCGAGGGGCGTGTCGTGTCTCTCCAGTCTGGTGCCAAGCGCCTTGCTGTCAGCGAGGTGAGTGCTGAGGAAGTTGGCGTTGATCTGGGCTGTGATGTTGACGCCGTTGCTGTCGGTGACGGTAAAGTCGACCCAGTTCAGCGAGTCATCCGTGTTGCTAAGGATCATGGCCATTTCTGCTGTAGCGGCCATGTCTTCGGGAGAGCCAGACTTGACCATCATTGCGCCTTTCTCCGCGATCTCTGGGACGGAAATGGCAGAAATGATGTCCCGCTTGCCTTCCTCGTAGTGTCTGGGAATGTGGCCCTTGGGGGCGTTGCTGTCTCTGTAGATGAGATGGAACTCGCTCATGTGCTTCAAGTGAGTCTCTTTCGCAAAGCCACACATAGCGCCCATCTTACCAATGGTGTAGTCAGGTCCGGCTTGAGCTCCGTCCCAAAGAAGCATACGCTCAAGGAAGCTCGCGATGTCGAAGCCGGTGAACGTGACGTTGTCGGTGGTCAGAGGACGGAAGCCGACGGCACAAGTCTCGTGGGCGGCGAACGGGACCAGTTTGTAATATTGGTCACCAAACACTGCGACCTTGGCTGTGTTGAGCTTGAGGAAATCGAGAAGCTTTCCACAGTCCCTTCTGAGGGGGCGACCAGACTCTTGCCAATCCGCGGAAAGCCACATAGCATCACAGTAGGGCCCTTCCGCTGGACCACCAAGTGTCAAGTCGAATTCCGGTTCGTCGCCCTTTTTGGAAGAGATACCAATGTCGGTGGCATTGACAGTGTGGGCAGTCCCACGACCGGAAATGAAGGCGGAGGTGTTTCTGGGGATGTCGTCGAAGGACTGGACAATGAGAGGCGCGTCACGCTTGGTGCCGCGAGTCTTGAGGGTGGTGCTGTTGTTGTTCGGGATGAAGGTATCGTTGCCCAGATTGAAGGCCGGTTCATCGAGAGGGCCGCGCTGTTGAAGTCTCCAGTAGACAGGAGCAAAGCCTGAATCGCCTTCATAGACAGTGCAATCAGCCTCACCAAAAGCAGACATGCGGCCCTTGTCAGTCCAGGCCTTGCGGCTCAGAGATCTGTCGAGGAAGTTGGCCATGTCGCCGCTTGAGAAGACGACGTTGTGGTGGACGGTGCGAGTGCGGTAGGCGCAGGAACCGACAAAGGCGACCTCGGCCCAGCGGTTGAGGTCGATCTTGTTGTCGAAGTAGAAGTAGACGGGGTGGCTGTGGCAGAAATCGTAGAGGGCCTGACAATCATCGCGACGAGGGGTGCCTTTGCCGCCATTATCCTTCTGACTGGCGCGGACGGTGCAAAGCTCCATAAGCTTCGGCACCTTCTTGGTCTTGAACTGCCTGCCAATGTCATCGGGAAGTTTGGAGACGTCGTCAGCCATGAAGACGCCAGGAGCGACGTGAATCACGATATCGGAGCCGTTGGAGGCCTTGAAGGTGATGGCGTTGTACTCCGCGATAGGAGCAGGAGCCTCAGCAAGGGTCTGCTCGAGTACAACGTGCTCGGATGTGATATGCTCGGGGACCGCGCGTGCGAGAGCCACCGCCGCAAAGGCAAGGGCCGGCGCGAGAATTATTCGCATCGTGAGACTGGAGAGGCGATACCGTGTCTCTGGTCTTGAGGTTGTACTTTTGCTTTGCGTAAGGAGAGTTAAAGAAAGCCAAGTCGCGAAACAATTGATGGTTGGGATTTTAGGAAAGACAGAGAAAGAGAAGGCCAGATGAAGGGTCGATGAGGGAGGAAGAGTAAGGAAGTGAGGAGGGAATCTTCGTCCAAGAAGGCACTGACGGTGAAGTGCTTCTTTGTTCTGGTTTGTGGGGAGGAGGAAAATAAATCAGGTCTTGGTGGGTGGTTGGCTCAGGGAAGGTACTCGCCTAGCCAGGCGGCGAAGAGGGAGATCACGGGACTTGCTTGCTTCTATTTCCTTTTTTGAGCAATTAAAGCGTTGTTAGAGCGGTGACCGTAAAGATTGTCAGATGAATATACGTCTGAATCAAAAGGGGAAGGAGCTCTCGCCCAAGGGGCTAGGTGAGTCGTGCCTTCCTGAAGTTGTTATTGCGGCTCACCTAGTTAGCCCAATAAGGAATCGTAGGTGAAGAAAGGCTTAAAGCGGTCAGAACACGGTGTACACGTTACTCTTCACTCTTTGGGACATCAGTTCTCGCCTGATATGTCGCGTACGAGATTAGAAGCTGGAATGCAAAGACACGAATCTTACGTAGAGCCACTTTCGAATTTTGATTTACCTATCTGAGAAAATGGTGCCTCGAGAACGCTAATTTGAAACATCTGACGACAGTAGAGCATGGTACGAATATGTTGACTTGCAATGTTGAGCTGGGAGTAAGCAGAGATCTGAGCGGTGAACATCCCTTGCAGGCACTGAGAGACCGCATGGTCACACACGCCAGGGTACCTTTGGGTTGACTACTTTGCAGTTCTGATTGTTGATGCATTGGAATGGGTGACTTCTTCACTGCCAGAGAGCTGCAGAACAATCATCTTTGGGAACAATGACCTTACCTGTGACGTCTTTTTTGCTTGAATAGCGGCTTGGTCGTACAAGTTGAAGTATCATTCATGCAAGGGCAAGTAGCAAACTCCTCTCACGTCTACAAACTAATTAAATGCGATTTCCAAATTGTGGGGTAATATTGTTGCTGCAATGATTTGTTTGGTCTTATTTATCTGAGTTCGATAAGGAAATGATGGTTGCCCATTGACCGCCCCATTGTAAGACCGGGAGTGTCAATTAGAGTTGACGAGAACCAAAGCTTCAACGCTGTCAAGCACGAAACTCTAGTTGGAGTTGAGAGCCGCTAATCTGACAGAAACGACTTTATGTCAACCTCCTTCATTCGTCATTTAGTACTTGGCAATCCTATTCTCTCACCGTGTCTTAGATTAGATAGGAGAAGATACGGCACAAAGGACGGACCATTCCAGGGATAATGAAACGAATGAGATCACAATTGACCAGCAGTGCGCAAGTTCCGATTCAGTCAGTATTTGGTAATAACCAGCTTCTCTAAGTTGTTCTAGGATTGCCTCACGCTCGCTCCCAATGTTGGGTGCCTTTTCAATTCTTGTATAACATCAAAATTTACAGTCTGGGAATCGCGTATCCCAAAGTTCGCTCTGTCAAACCGTTGCGGACGAGCACGCCCGCCTTGAGTAATGCAAGCGTACCTTGGGGTGTAATAGTAAAGTGCACCTGGCATCAGGTAAGTAATAGTGTCAATGTGAACAAATCGAGGAAGGAGAAGATATAAAGTTGAGCAAGGGACATCTCTGATAAACCTTCGATCAATAACCAAGCTACAGCCTGGGTGAGGTAGGTGAAATGATACGTTTACGGTTGTCTGCTCTACAGTCAACATTAAGGCTTTCCCATAGATAAGCAACACACTTGAGAAAAATGTAATCGCATTCATTGCTGAATTTACTATGAGCTGTTCGATTTCGAGACCGGATGCAGTCTACATATGCTCACAATGGTACACTTCTCCTCCCCATGTCTCCTCCCTATGTGCACTAGCAATTCTTAAGCTGGAGTATGTCCGAAATAACCCTCGATATCGATCTAACAGACCACGGTCATCAATATGACAAACAATTGAGACCTTAGTTGCAGAGTTTTCGACTTTTTGCAGATGCTTTGTGTAGATGCGGCTAATACGTAGTGTGCGTTTAGCTGCCGCTGGCTTCTTGGACCTTCCCTCATATGAGCACAGCCGCACAAAGGCTCATCTAGAGTCTAGCAGTGGGATGCCGTGAACACAAATGATAGCTGTCATTGGAATTGAGAGTCTTAGTCAATCGTGCCAGATCGGGATATTTCAAGCAAAGCACCCGCACCCCAACGAAATCGGCTATCTATCCGGAATAAGCACACTTTGGCTCCCATTGAATCATACCGTAGCTCATGTTCCCGCTGTATGATTGTCAACGTACGTCTGTCATGCATGTCAAACCTCTGAGTAAATTGGTTCGGTATCGTTGCTAATGGAGTGGATCGCCGGAACCGGAACCTTGGACCGGGGGCTGGGAATGTTTCCCGTCTGTTATCAAACGAGTCCGAGGAACCCCCCGCTAGCCGACGAGTCATTTTCGCGCCTTTGGGCCCCGTCAGGCCCCGCAGAAACATGTCAACCCCATAGAATGATCCGGGGCCGCCATGCAATGCTGCAATAAACAGCAGCAATAAGCATGAACTAGCCAATTCCCCGGGTTGGGTCTGTTGCTATGCCGTAATCTTATTCTGCCCAGACCAGTTGATCTCCTCCAGCTATCAAGATAAGTACCAGATAAGACCTTTCCTCGTCCATTCACATCCCATTACAAGCTGACAAACATCGAATATGGAGAGACTCGAGAACCCATCCACCGAAGCGGCCCAAGATGGAGACCATCCCCGGGACTTAACCACTAGGTCGGTATGGCTCTGCCGACGACGGCACTGGTCACTTTTTTGCCGAGCTGATAAGAGAAAACCCGAGAGCACGGAACCAGCGTTCGCCTGCTTTAGCCTCGAGCGCATTCGGAGCCCAAACCCACGTGTGATAGGACCCAAGCCGTGGAGATAAGGTCGATGATGATTTTCTGGTCAGAGTATTGGTCAATTGGAATATCTTCCATGATTTCTAGCGCGGGCATGGAAGGGCCGGACGAGTGATTTTTCCCACAAGCCGGATATTGACACCGGAATCCATGGGAATTCGAATTGTTTCTTATCGCCTTGGCTACAGTCACGTATTTCGCGATAAGTCGTATCCAAGAACCGCTATATAAGACAAAGTAAATATGCCGCCAAGTTCCGTTGTTCGACCAGCCAGCAGAGCAGTTCAGAGCATCTCCCTCTTCTCATAGTCACCGTTGTCCTCTAGAAAACCACCCGCAACATCGGTGACTATCTCTCAGCACGACAATCAGCCAAGATGCAGACTCGCAACCTCCTCCTCGCAGCCTCTCAGCTGGCTCTCGGCCTCGCGGCCCCGGCTCCGCTCCCGGCATACAACCTTCTCTCCACCCGCGAGACGCACTACAACGCCAGCTTGCCCAACATCACAATCTTCGCCACGGGCGGTACCATCGCAGGTTCGGCCTCCTCAAATGCCCAGACCACAGGCTACCAAGCCGGCGCTCTCGGCGTCGACATCCTCATCGCCGCCGTCCCCGAGCTGTGGAATGTCTCCAACGTCAAGGGCGTGCAGGTCGCCAACGTGGACTCGGGCAGTATCACCCCCGGCATCCTCCTCAACCTCACCCGCCTCGTGCAAGAGGCTCTCGACGACCCCTACTGCCAGGGCGCCGTCATCACCCACGGCACCGACACCATGGAGGAGTCTGCCTTCTTCCTCGACGCCACCATCAAGAGCGAGAAGCCCGTCGTCGTGGTGGGCGCCATGAGACCCGCCACCGCCATCAGCGCCGACGGCCCCATCAACCTCCTCGAGGCCGTCACCCTCGCCGGCAGCCCCGCCGCCGCGGGCCGCGGCACCATGATCGTCCTCAACGACCGCATCGGTAGCGCCTACTACACCACAAAGACCCACTCCAACTCCCTCGACACCTTCAAGGCCGTCGAGCAGGGCTACCTCGGCTTCTTCCTCGACATCAAGCCCGTCTTCTACTACCCTCCCGTTCTGCCCCTTGGCCGCGCCTACTTCAACGTCACCGAGGCCTCTGAGCTGCCCGAGGTTGACATCCTCTTCGGCCACCAGGCTCTCAACCCTGCCCTCGCCAACGCCGCCGTCGCCAGCGGCGCCAAGGGCCTCGTGCTTGCCGGTATGGGTGCCGGTGGATGGACTACGCCCGGCCGCAATGCGCTCAAGACGCTGGCGCAGGAGAACGGCACGCAGATTGTTGTCTCTAGCAGAACCATGGGCGGATTTGTCGAGGATGATGATGCGCTTAACACTTACGGTGGCTGGAACTTGAACCCGCAGAAGTCGCGCATCCTGTTGCAGCTTGCGCTTTATTCTGGCTACAGCTCCTCGCAGCTCGAGACGCTGTTCAAGTTCGCTCCTTAGACGGGATGAGACATGACACTGAATTATGAGATTATGAGTACATAGATATAATAATAGAGAAATAGTAATTTTTATCATCAGAAATGTTCAGTTCCGTGATGTCTCAATTTTTATCTCGACCTGCCAGGTGCACTGGGCATAACTTTTCTGGTAACGCCAGGCGACTTTTCGATCCCAACAACCATGTTCGTCTTCTCTATTTTGAGTCCGGAGGTCTTCAGACGCATTGCCGAGGTATTGCTTTGATCAACATCTAACCCAGTCAAAGATGAGATTAGCTCATGTAATCTCAGCTTCCGGTGCTGTCGCAAGAGTGCCAAGGCAGTTCCCGCCAGACAGGGATCATATATCCTTCTTCAAAGAGCTCTTCTCCAACTCCGCAACCTTTGCAAAGACCCGCTTTGTCTCCGCGCAGCTCTTGATAATGAGATAGAACGGGATAATGATCCAAAAGGCATTGAAGAAGACATAGTAACACCAAAAGTAAAAGTCTTCAGGCCGGCAGTAAATCATCTTGGCAACGAGCTTGTCGAACGAGCACGTCGCAAAGTACAAAACGTCGCCGTAGAGCTGACCGAGACTAATGATGATCTGCAGCGGATGGCGGAGGGGATGCCCGTTGACGATGAAGTATGCGCACGCGAAGGACAGCGGACCCCAGCAGAAGGCGGTGATGGTCTCCATGCAGACGATGAAGGAGTCCTGGGTCAGGTAGCGGGAGTCGGAGAGGGAGTATTCTTTCCAGAGCTGGCCGAAGATGTGTAGGGATGCTGGCATGCTGGATTGGTTGTATGAGAAATAGCCTGCTCGGGTGTTAGTCAAGATGGTCCCCGCCAATGCCTAGGTTAAAGCTGGGTGGTTGAGCACGGGTGACTGACCTTCGAAGAAGAGGTGGATAAAGGCGCTGAGAGTGAACCACAGTGCCGTGGCAACCTCGCCATTAGGGAGGTTTGGGCTCGTTCTCTTGATGATGCGATATGTCGGTACGAGGATGGCGGTTGCACCTGCGGCAAACATACCACGCAAAGCATGCGCGCCAAACGTGTTGGCAACGTAGCCAGGGAGTACAGCCTGCGCAGGGAAGTACGGATGAGCCGGGATAGTGGCGTTCATGACGATTTCTGCAGCCATGGTAGGAATCTTCCTGTTTCGTTCTCAGCCCTTGGTTCTGTTTTCTAGTCAAAACCACTTACACTGAAGGGAAGTTCGTGAGCTTTATGGATGTCAGTTGGAGGATTCAATTCCCAAGATTCCCACGCTTCGCAATCCACTCTGCCACAGCCGGAAAAGCTGCCATGCGCGTCGTGCGATTTTCGGCTCTTGTTTGTACAGAGACATCTGCCAAGTGCTAAGCAAACTAACATTCTATTGGCCACAGGGTCAGCATAAGCAGCCAAGCGAGATTGCACCCGCGTCGTATTCGGGTTCAAGCATTTCTGTCTGACAAAACCACGGCCGAGAGAGTAGAGGAGACTCAGGAGAGGACTTTAGCGCTATTCTCCGGGGCCCCCAGGTGCAAAAGCCCGATCCGGGATCCACACCTGGAGCCCGAGTCTGCCGGCGCCCGAAAGTTCAACACCGGGCTGTTCCACCGAGTGGAACATGACACGGAAGAGAACGCACCACCAGTTCCTGGAAACTGAACTTCTAACATCATGGTCTAGATATCTATGTACTAATTCTTATTACTTGTGAGTTGGGTATCTTACTACAATCTTTACATCTCGTCACCCCATCTAGCCTCGAGTCTCGTTTCCATTACCAAGGCACTTCAGACGTCGCCCTTCTTTTCCCCCTTCTTCTTACGGATATCGACCCAGCCCATACCCCACGAGAGCACAAAGGCGAGACCACCAATTCCGACCATGAGGTAAAATACTTCACCGATGCTCTTTGAGTACGCCACCAACACGCCCGGCAAATCGACCTCCGGTACAACAGTCCTGAACCCCGTGCCGCCCGCAGCCAGTACTGTCTTCACGTCTACTGTTGGAGCGTACTTTGCTAAGTTTTTGCCCAGACCTTCGCTGAAGATGACTTCACCTGCTGTCAGGAAAACGGCACCGCCAAAAGTCTGCAAGAAGACGAGCATTGCCATCGATACGGAGAGGGTCGCGGGCGGGATGTTGGCTTGGACGGCGATGATGTGCTGGAAAAGCGTGAATATTAGCTTAGCCTTTCCAAGTTGCATGGCAGCATATCTCACCATTTGCATACAGGCACCACGGCCGGCGCCGAGGAGGACTTGATATCCAATCCACTTGGCAGAATCTGTAGACGGATCCCAGGTAGAGATGAGGCCATTGCCGATTGCCGATAGAACGGAGCCAAATACGGCCCAGGGGAGGTAGTATCCTAGCCTCCCGACTACGAAGGATTAGCATTTCCACCATACCATATTCGAGTTTCAAGGACGCAACAGCCGTCAGCTTACCTAAAGCCCCAGATGCTACAGCAAAGACCAACTGGGCAATGATGGTCGGCAAGAAGTGAACACCACCCCGGAATGGCGTCTCACCCTTGACGCTCTGGAAATACATTGGGATGTAGTAACTTGACACCTGGGTAATGCTCATGTTCAAGGCTCCAACCAGACTGCTCGTCAATACGATCCTATTCTTGAACAAGCCCATTGGGACCATGGCTTTGTCGTCGCCTTCCCTGTGCTCCCAGAAGATGAATAGCCCAGCGGTCACGGCAGCGCCGACGAACAAGCCGATAACTACCGATGAGTCCCAGCTATAGTCATTGCCGCCGAACTGCAGAGCGAGAAGGAACATGATGGCCGCGGGAGCGAAGAGAGTGAAACCGGGAAGGTCGAGGTGTCGGGGTATCTGGAGGAAAGAGACGGGCTTGGTGATCTTCGACGGGATATGGATCAGGAAGAGCATAGCTGCAGTAACTGCACCAATCGGAAGATTGATGTAGAAACCTGTGTCTCAAGTTAGTATTATTTCCATTTACAAGTTGTAGTCCAACAACCAATTCATTGAAGAAATTAAGCAGAGAAAGGAGAATACTCACACCAACGCCAAGTCGTGTACTGCGTCAAGGCACCTCCCACAAGAGGTCCAGCGACAATTCCGATATTCGAAATACCAATCATGATCCCAATGATTAAGGGTCTCTTTTCCAACGGAACGGTGGCGCCGATAATGGTCAATGAACCATTGAAAAGTCCACCAGATCCCATGCCTGAAACAGCCCGTCCGATGATGAACAGTGTTGATGAATTAGAGAGGGCGCAGATGAGGGATCCGGCCTCGAAGACGAAAAGGAAGGCGAGGAATATTTCTTTCGAATGACGATGGGTGTAAAGCTTGCCGGCCAAGGGCTGCAGGGCGGCACTAGTTTGAGATACGGATCAGCTCGATTGATTCGAAGAGCACGTGGCTCGTACGCTGTGCCTTGTAAGAAGTAGAGAGTTGACATACCCACACAGACTGTATGCTGCCCCATACCATCCAACGTCAGAAAGAGAGTTGAACGCTGTTGTGATCTCCGGAACGGCCTAGACCCAGTGTCAGACTTGCCATGAGCACGTCACCACATACGTCACTAGAACAACGGTACCGTAGTGATAATAGACATGTCCAGCATCATGAGAAACACAGTAAGCGTTAATGCCGCCAAGACAAGGATGAGCTTGAGGCCCTCGATGTACTCCTCCTCGGCTTCCTCTTGGTCCGCCGCCGTGCTTCCCTCATCTTCAGTACCGGCTTCCTTCTTCTCGGTCTGCTCAACGTCCGAATCGCTTGCTGGTTGCAGTGGCTTTTCCGACATATTGAGAACGGCAGAAGTGGTCGATGGTTGTGTCATGGCCGATGCCGGGGATGTGAAGCGGGTCTCGGTGAGCTCTCGGGAGCTTCGTGAAGTAGACTGGTCCATGTTTAAGGTCTGTAGAAGATCTCGTGGAGTGCCTGGTCATCAAGGGAATAGTCTGGATGAACCTTGGCACATCTTATGTAGCAGGTAAAATCAACTCCGAGAACAATACGACACGCTGGTGCGCGTGCATGTAAGAAACTCATAGCCGGATTCTGAACTCCGTCTCGTAACTCCCTACATCCATCCTTAACCCCGTCGAATCAACAACAAGCAAACGCCAGCCGGCATTTTCTGGTCCTAACCCGCTCTCGGGTGTCCAGACTCGCTTAACCCGGGTCACGGTGTAAGGCTGACAATAGCGCAATTGCTGCACATCCGGGGTTCACACTAACCCCGAGGGGACTTTGGTAATACCTAACCCTTCACACCACATCAAATTTCCGTTCACGCGCCAACGATTGGTCCCAACAGAGTGGAACATACGGCTCGGGCATACTTGCCCCGTTCTCTACTAACGTATCTGGTCATTCAGCTTACTTTGGAATGCTTACCTAGTGCGTTGGCTGTTTTATTAGCCGTTTGTTGGTTTTGAATTCGGGAGGATTCGACTAGCTGCATACAGAGAGAGATTGATTACGAGTCAAAACCCCCCAGCCGGGATTTGGTGCCACGAGGATCTTGAAATCCGTCCGGTCACCCATCCCGTTTCGATTTACGGCCGCTGCAGCAATAGTCCGAGCCCACTCAGCCTGGCAGCTGGTGTTTTCCAGCAAACGATTCGGATCCGGGCTTGGCCGGTGCAGGTAGCCAGAACTCGGAGACTTTGCTGGATGGTGAGGTCTCGATTGGCCCGACGATCAAACCGACATATCGGTATGTACCTATAGGCTGAATCTATGTTCTCATTTGTAAGCCGCATTGGCTCCTTGATCCGGTCCCAACGACCGCACGTGTTTTCATTGGGAAACCGACAAACACAATACGTTTATGTCTTTAACATCAATTCCATGCACAGATTTAGCGAATCTACCGTCCCCCATAGCCTACTTGGGTAAGACGCAAAGTATCACTGCATAAATGTGATGTAAGACAGGTGGGTATTTCCGCACTGGTGACCTGGAATTGCACGTGGTCTTCTTTGCTAACGATACATCGCTAATACACTGGAAGCAGCAAGGAGATCAGGTGGGGTAGAGCCGAAACTCGGTCACTCCCATGAGTTAACTAGCTACCTAGATTGATGAAGACCAAGGAGCCACTTGATGAGGACTTCTGCTAGCAGCAGTCATGTAACCCAATCGCGGATAATTACAGTATGATACCACAAACAGATTCCGCATTAGCAAGCTCTACATTACACGATACTACCAATTCCTTTCAGAGGAACGGAATTTCTCTCCGTGGGCCTTTCGAGTTGGGGCAAGTTACGTTTTCGCACCATTCAATGTGTCTCGTTGCTTCATCTCTTCGATAAGTCGTAGGATCTATGTTTTCTTCCCAACAACGCACCGTATCCCATTCGTTGAAATCTTTTACTTTGACTGTTTTCTGCCCTTCTAGAGTAATTCGTGACTCCTCCAATCTCCAAACGTATTCAAAGTGACAAGTTTTACAGCTAGCCACATGCGTGGAACCTCGGGGCAGAAAGGGATGTATGCCGTGTGCCAGGAACTTTTCCTCTGAGATCAGGACGGCTTGTCGCATAGCATGCGCAACACTCCCTGTCAGCTCTCATGATGGTATGCTGATGACATTGTCGTTGAGTATTATATGCACCTGTTTCCCTGAAGCACACGCAGAGGTGCCAACTAAACGGTGCCATAAATGCTGTGTCTGTAAACATCAGATGAGGGCAGCAGAAGTCGCCAAAGCTTTCTTGCAACCGACTCAGAGCATGGCGAAGAAGCTTTTTCGTCAGAACTTCTCCTTCTCTCAAGTTCAAGACTACGAGCTTCCAGCTCAATTTGAAATTCAAGAAGGAGTCACTGGTGACACTGTGGTGTTGAAGTTATTTTGGCGCATAGATTATTACAGGGGCCTTCCCATGCTACCCAACTCTTTGTACACATGCTACGCAATCTAAGAATGGGGTTCGCTGGAATATTACCTTAATGGTTTCCCATCCTAGTTCTTCTAAGTTATAGGTCGCCGCGTATTCCCAGAGTTCCGCCCAGGAGATCTAAACGTACGAACATAGTTTCAATTTTCCTTCGTAGCCGATACAGATGCGGTAATCCATATCTAGACGAAGTTAATCACTGGAGAAATAGGCTAAGTCGTATTACCTCCCGCAACCGTCGCAATAGGGTCGTAGTAGTAGTACGTACTCTAATATATCGCACGCGCGCCCTGACGCATTATTACGT